ATCTCCTTCCTCTGGGGTGCAGGACCTGAGTGCAGGTGAGTGTGTTTTGCAGGAGGCTCTGAATTCAATTCAGTCTGATGCACCACAACACATTTTAAATGCTGAAAGCAAAACCAGCTTCTTCAGAGGAGGAGCAGTGAGATGGAAAGGTCAGAGGCTTTGGGCAGCATGAAAAGAGGTGTTGTAGTAGAGCAAAGACGTGTGGATTTCCTCTGTGCTCTGCAGAAAGATCACATTCTGGTCAGAACACCATTTCCATTACTTAGGTGGAATCAGACAAGCTCACACTACTAACAAAATTTTATAAAGAAGTGTGAGCTGTACCTTGGCTGATAACAGATCACGTTCCTAATCCAAGACAACACAAGACAAAACTTAGTTGCTAGATTTTTTTTAAGCCACTGTGAAAGGTGGTATGTTCAAGAACTGTTCACAGGCAGCTTTTGGTTTGTATCATTAACAGTTTCCCATGGAAATGGAAAGTAAAAAAATGGAAATGTTTAACTTGAAAATGAAAGACCATCAAAAGATCACGGCTGTGTAGCTCTGTAGTCCACTTGTATTGGCAAACACAATGCTTGTCTTTCTCTGACTTCTTTATGGCCTCATCATTGTAGTAATTAAGCTGAGTAACAGGAAGAGAAGTGCTTAGGAGTTGCAACAAGGAGAAGGAGACATCTGTGTGGAGATTTGCTCAGGCAGAGGGACTTCATCCTAGCACGGTGTGAGTAATGAAGCTGGAGTTGCTCGTACCCACAGCACGTGGGTTTTGAGGAAGGAACAAAGCAAATGAGCTGTTCCTGGTGGAAAGAAATGAGAGAGGGGGAGAGAAATGAGTGTGGATGAATAGAGATCAGGATGTGAGGTTGTTGCAATCCAGTAACACATCTGAGGAACTTTTCTGGTTTGCAGTGCAAGGAGTATATGCACGTATAAAAGGGCCAATAAAAGGATCTGTCATCTGTTTGGCTGTTAATGTTGCACGTGCCATCAAAGCAGCAATAAAAGTGACAAGCTCTCACTTCAGAGAAACCTTCAGCTGGATTTATAATGCATATTGTTTATTTTTTTGTGATGGAGTTGGAAATTAAATATTTTGACATCAAAGGTTGCTGAAGTGTTTTATGCTTCTATTTTATGGATAAAATACTAATATCCATAGAATTCTGTGGGTAAAAACTAATACTTTTCATGTTAAGCTAAAAATAAGATTGGAGATTTCTTCCAAACATGACATGGTCTTTGTTTTCAGCAAACTTTGCACAAGCTGAGTTGCCCAGGAGTTTAATTGCTCTGTATCTCCACGTGTGAAGCAGCTCTCCAGCCCAAGGCATTAGCTGCTGGCAGGGCTTTTTCTTTTTTGCTCTGTTACATGAGAAATGTTTTATCTTCTCCATATTCTGCAGGATCTTTGGTCATGAAGTGTGCAAACTACTGATGCAACAGCATAGCAACATAGAACCTCTTCTTTCCAGTCCTCTCATGGTGCCTTATTGTAAAACAAGCATCTTGTTAGGTGTAGCCCTCATCTTTTTAGTTCAATTTAGTAACTCAAAACAACTTCATGAAGAAAGTTTTTCCTGAGCTGTGGACACAGTTCATGCTCTTCATGCCCTGTGTGACTAATGATCACTGTCCCAGTTAGCCCAGTTGCTGTGCTGTGCTTGTGTTGTGGGCACCCAGCGCTGCAATGCCTCAATTTCCCCGCGTATCATATAGGAATGATGTTTTATAAATGTCTTTAAAACATGAAACCAGTAATGTTTAAAAGATATTTTATAAATGTCTTTAAAACAGTATCCTGGGGTGCATTAAAAAGAGTGTGGCCAGCAGGTCGAGGGAGATTCTCCTCCCCCTCTACTCTGCCCTGCTGAGGCCACATCTGGAGTGTTGTGTCCAGTTCTGGGCTCCCCAGTTCAAGAGGGACAGGGAACTTCTGGAGAGAGTCCAGGGGAGGCCACAAAGATGTTGAGGGGCTGGAGCATCTTTCTGATGAGGAGAGGCTGAGAGAGCTGGGACTGTTCAGCCTGGAGAAGAGCAGCCTGAGAGGGGATCTGATCAATGTCTATAAATATCTGAAATGTGGGGGCCAAATGGATGGGGCCGGGCTCTTCTCAGTGGTGCCCAGCGACAGGACGAGGGGCAATGGGCACAAACTGGAACACCGGGAGTTCCAGACAAGCTGAAGGAAAAACTTCTTTCCTGTGAGGGTGTTGGAGCCCTGGGACAGGCTGCCCAGAGAGGGTGTGGAGTCTCCATCTCTGGAGATGTTCAAACCCACCTGGACACTTTCCTGTGTAACCTGGTGTAGGAAACCATCTTTGGCAGGGTGGTTGGACTAGATGATCTCCTGAGGTCCCTTCCAGCCCTGACCATTCTGTGGTTCAGTGAACTGAGAGAAAAAAACAAAACAGAAAAAAAAACAAACACAAAAAACCCCAAATAAAACAACGCCACGAGCTTTTAGGCATCTAGTGGAAGGTGTCCCTGCTGCTGGCAGGGGGGTTGGAACTGGATGAGCTTTCAGGTCCCTTCCAAAAACCATTCCATGATTTTATAATTTTTGAGATCCTTGAATGGCTGCAGGCCACTTAAGGACAGAGCACTAGATAGAATTCATGGACAAGAACTCCAGACTCCTGGGTGAATTTTCAAAACCCAGCAGGTCTTTCTTCTTGTAAAATTTTCAAGGAGTAAGATGCTGCATGTGGTGCTTCAGAGATTATTTCGTTGCTGTAGAGTTTTTTTGCCAGACTTGGAGACAATCTTGAAACAGAAACAAAACACAGATATGCTGAATACGATGAGGACACCACACTGTCTTTTTTTTTGCCACAGTTGCAATTAGAAATACATTTTTTTGACAAAGTGGGTGATAACTCTGACTCCTACGTTGCTGCAACCTGTTGCACTGCTAGAAGTTCCTTAATTTTTTTGGAGGAACCTTGATTCCAAGAGCTGCCAATTTAGTTCTTTGTATTTGCTAACCAGAAATGAGCTTTTTCAACTAAGTTGCACAAAACCTTATGGAAAACCGAAATATTTCTAAATATAAATTGGGCAGCACAATTAAGAGATGTGTCATGGGGAGTGGAAAAATGAATCCTCTGCTTTCAGCAGCTGCAGGTGTCAGCAGGCAGGTGGTAGAGGCCTTAGCTCCTCAACGAGGAGATGAAAATAACTCTCCTTTTAATTGCTCTGCTTCCCTGGTGATCTTAAGGGAAATAAAGGTTTGACTAACTTAGGCAAAGATGCTTCTATAAACCTGTGGCTGGAGAGAGCATCACCCACCTCAACTGTGCAGAGAAAAAAATGTGTCGCAGTGAAGCTCTTACCCTGAAGCCATTCTACAGAGAAATCTCATCGTTTTATGGACTTTGACTATGTCAAAGAGAAGGCTCCAGGGAGATCTTATAGCACCTTCCAATACCTGAAGGGGGCCTACAAGAAAGCTGGGGAAGGACTTTTCATAAGGGCAGTTAATGACAAAACAAGGGGAAATGGGTTTAAGCTGAAAGAGGGGAGGTTTAGATGAGATATTAGGAAGAAGTTCTTCACTGTGAGGGTGGTCAGACACTGGAACAGGTTGCCCAAGGAAGTTGTAGATGCCCCCTCCCTGGAAGTGTTGAAGGCCAGGTTGGATGAGGCTTTGAGCAACCTGGTCTAGTGGAAGGTGTCCCTGCTGATGGCAGTGGGGTTGGAACTGGATGAGCTTTAAGGTCCCTTCCAATCCAAACCATTCTATGATTCTACGTCAGAGCTGAGTTTTGCCCCTAAACTTGTTCTCAGTCTCTCACTCCTACGATTGAGGAGTATCGCTGACATCGATGCTTCAGTCAACTCTCACCGAGGTCACTAGAATTTGTTTATGTTTTTCTGAACAGGTGATTGTCCTTTAATCTGACTTTTTTTTTTTTTTTTTAAACTTAATATGCCCTTATGATTTGCAATCTGCTTATAGAAGCCAACAAAGCTTATCTGGGCCTCTTAAAAATCATCTTGACGTCTGTTTGCATACTGCCCTGCAAAAAGCTTTAGCACAAACAGCAGATAGCTTTTTATATACGTGTCAGTTTGTACGTAGGAGAAGCCAACCTCCTCTAAACTACTCAACTCAGTGTCAGATCTTCTCTGTGGAGGGACAGGGACAATCCTGCACTTCTAGATCCTATCACCCAGGTGCGAGGCTTCCTGGTGCTCCTTTTTGGTCCACATCAGAGGTGTGATGAAGTGGATGAAGGAGAGGCTGTGGACGTTGTCTAGTTGGACTTTAGTAAGGTTTCTCCTGGAGGAACTGGCTGGTCCTGGCCTTGGGGGGGCGGGGGGGACCTCTTTTTCTCCTGGAGAAACTGGCTGCCAGTGGCCTGGACAGGCACTCTCTCTGCTGGGTTAGAAACTGGCTGATGGCCGGGCCCACAGAGTGGTGGGGAATGGAGTTAAACCCAGTTGGTGGCCGGTCACCAGTGGTGTTCCCCAGAGCTCAGTACTGGGGTTAGTCTTGTTTAACATGTTTATTGATGATCTGAATGAGGGGATGGAGGGCACCCTCAGTCAGTTTGCAGAGGACACCCAGCTGGGTGGGAGTGTTGATCTGCTGGAGGGTTGGGAGGCTCTGCAGAGGGATCTGGACAGGCTGAATCCATGGGTCAGGACCAATTCCATGAGTTTCAATTGGTTGAGATTGGATGTGAGGAAGAATTTCTTTGCTGCAAGGGTTCTGAGGCATTGGAAGGGGTTGCCCAGGGCAGTGGTGGAGTCCCCATCCCTGGAGGGATTGAAGAGTCGTGTAGACACAGTGCTGAGGGACATGGGTTAGTTGGGGACTTGTCAGTGTTGGGTTCATGGTTGGACTCGATGAAGGGCTTTTCCAATCCAGGCAATTCTGGGATTCTGTGATATGGTGACACCCTGTGTTTCTGCTCTCCCAGCAGGTCATTGGTGTGTGGAAACATCCTTGTCTTGGGGTAGAGTCGCCCCAGAGTTAGGAATCGGGTCTCTGTGCATCTGAGCTCTAGCACTGGATGGTCATTCCAGCAGAGTGGGAAGGGTAGTGAGTCCTGAGAGGTCCTGGATGCAGGGATGAGTGTCTTCATCTAACTGCCCCGCAGGCAGCTGCCTGTTTTTACAGTATTTAAACTCATAGCCCACGTCGGGCCTGGTTCCAGCAAGAACAAGCAGTCATGTCCAGCATTCAGATCTCCTGATTCTGCTGGGAGATGATGATCCTGAGAGGGACAACCTGGTCCCCAGGTGTACCTCTTTGAAACATTAGAACTAGTCACTTTTTCTTATGACTTGACCACAGTTTCAGGGTGGAAGAGAAGAAAGATTTTAATGAAGACTAAGTCCCACAGCACCTCCTGCTTATTTCACTGATGACCAGGTAGTTAATTTTGGGTTGGATTCCTGTGGCCAGGCATAATCTCCTGCATCTGCTGGGTGCTGAGTGCCATCACTTCTTGTTGAGGACATCCCAGCTGACCCTCTGCCTTCTCTTTGCTGTGATGACTTTATGACAGCGACAAACCCGCTCTCATCCTGCCTGCCAGAAAGCACCTGGCAGTGAGAATCAGAGAATTATGGAGTGATTTGGGTTGGAAGGGACCCTCAAAGGTCATCTACTCCAAACCCCCTGCAGTGAGCAGGGACATCTTTACTAGAGCAGGTTGCTCAGAGCCCCATCAAGCCTGACCTTGAATAAGTGAGACCTCACCAAGTTCAGTCAGGTCCGTGTGGGTTTTCATAGCAGGATATTCCTGATGACAGTTTGGTTGCTGCTTTGACAGCTGCTGTGCTTTTTAATCTGAATGTTTAATCATTAATTAGAAGTTCTAAACTTAAAGAACATTTAGTCTAAAATTGACTGTTGCAAGAAGAAGGGCCAGTGAGCAAAATATCTGGGTGCTTTGCTGCAATTGCTGCTGTGTCCTCTTCCACTTTCGGATGCAGCTGTGGTCCTACATGGACTCAACTTTGCTTTTTCATGGTGTTACTTTTTGGAGATCTTGAGGCTGAACTGTGGGGACAGGTAGAAAATTCCCAGGCACAGGTTTTGCTCCCTTCTAGAAACCACTTTCCTTAGCAGGCCATAAACCTGGAGCATTGCGGGGTGCTCCACACGCAGGACAACTTACTGTTCTCAGCACTGGAGTGTGGTTGTCTGTGCTTTGGGCCATTGCAAATGGTAGAATTGGGATTAGCTCACTAGCACTAATGCTTGAGTTTGGTATTAAAACTTAGAAGACACTCAGTCTGTGTACCAAAGGGTGTCAAAGAAACATTTCTTACAGTTTCTCTCAAACCCTCCATGGTAGAGATTGTATAAACCCTTCCCAGAGCTGGCAACCATGCAGTTGGTTGAGCTGCTGGTTTTGGTTTGGTTTGGGGTTTTTTTTTTAGAGAGGTTTGATTTTTTTACGTGATTCATGGATGGAGTCAGCAAACTGCATCATGGCTCCCACAGATGAAGCAATCATAGAATCATGGAATGTTGTGAGTTGGAAGGACCCACAAGGATCATCCAGTCCAACTCCTGTCCCTGCACAGGACAAGCCCAACACTCACACCATGTCCCTCAGGGCCTTGGCCAAATGCTGCTGGAATCTTGTCAGGCTTGGTGCCATCAGCACCTCCCTGGGGAGCCTGTGCCAGTGCTCCACCACCCTCTGGGTGCCTCAAGAACCTTTTCCTCACGGCCAACCTCACCCTCCCCTGCCACATCTTCCTGCCATTCCCTCTGCTCCTGGCATTCGTTGGTGGCCAGAGAGAAGAGATCAGCGCCTGCCCCTCCTCTGCCCCTTGGGAGGAAGTTCTAGACCCCCATGAGATCTCCTCAGTCTCCTCTTCTCCAGGCTGAACAAACCAAGTGCCTTCAGCCTCTCCTCACACCCTTCTCCTCTAAACCAGTTCCTCCCAGCTGTGCCCTGAGAGATGCTGGGTCTTTGTCTCGGCGCTGTAGCCCATGGCGCAGCCCTGCGAGCTGCCCGGGTGAGGTCTCATTATGGCACTAATTAGAGAAGTCGTCGGGCTGGAGCAGGTTGTAACGCCGCTGCTGATTGTCTCCCTGGTGGATTAAAGACAAACCCTCCTTAACAAGTGTCTTGAGTAGCTTGAGCTGCTGAACTCCCCAGGACCAGTAATTAATCCATCTGGTAACAAGGAGCATGGCTGGCAGATAGTGATTCTGGGAAGGAGCTTTTAACTGGTTTTGCACCAATTCAATGCACGTAGCATGTTTATTTGAATTAATAAAACCTCAACCAGGGAACCTGAAGCATGTCAGAGTGACTGTTGGCCCTGCAGTGGAAGGTGGATCATGGACAGGGAGGGGATTCTGCCCCTCTGCTCCGCTCTCCTGACATCCCACCTGCAGTGCTACCTCCAGTGCGGGGGCCACCAACAGCACAAGGACATGGAGCTACTGGAGCCAGTGCAGAGGAGGCCACCAGGATGATGCGAGGGCTGGAGCAGCTCTGCTGTGAGGACAGGCTGAGAGAGTTGGGGCTGTTGAGCCTGGAGAAGAGAAGGCTCCAGGGAGATCTTATAGCGGCCTCCCAGTACCTGAAGGGGCTCCAGGAAGGGTGGGGAGGGACTTTGACCAAGGGCAGGGAGTGACAGAACAAGGGGTGATGGCTTGAAAGTGTCAGAGGGGAGATGGAGCTGAGATGTGAGGAAGAAATTGTTTGGTGTGAGGGTGGTGAGCCAGTGTCCCAGGTTGGGCAGAGAAGCTGTGGCTGCTCCTCCCTGGAAGTGTTGAAGGCCAGGTTGGATGAGGCTTTGAGCAACCTGGTCTAGTGGAAGGGGTCCCTGCTGCTGGCAGGGGGGTTGGGACTGGATGAGCTTTCAGGGCCCTTCCAACCCAGACCATTCTGTGTTTCTACGACAGGCTTGGCCTGGGCTGGAACAAAGGGCACCAAAGAGGTTTTTTGTGCCTCCATTTATGATTTAGGGTTTGCCATGGCTTCTCTGAGATGGCTTATAATGTCCATGGGGTGGAAGAACTGCAATGCAGTTATCCATGGATACAATATCCAGACTGGAACCAGGATGTTATTGAAACCGGATCATGGCTGGGAAGAAGGGAAACTCTTATGGCAGAAGATCAGGGATGGATGAGAAGTTCTCCATGGCTCTGCTAGCTGGGACCACGTCGTGGCTGTGGCAGCAACCAGTGCTGGCCCCAGCGTGCTCTTCCATGACTGTGTCCCACAGCCCTGAACATTGGAGGGATCTCAGGGTTGTAAGGTGGCCCGAGGACTCCCAGTGGCACTGTCACAACCTCAGAGAACTTACTATGAAAGCTACGAGGAGATGCAAGGAGGTGTTCTTAAATGCAGCTATTTAGCTTTGAATTAACATGGTTTTCTCTGATGTACGTGGTCATGAGTGTTCCTTTTCTTCCTGCTCTGTTTCTGCAGCTGAACCAGCCTTTTTCTGAAGCTCCAGGCAGTCCCTGGTACAAAAAAACCAATCATGTCATAAAACCCTGTGCGAGTTTTGTGTTTTCTTTGATAACACCAAGGATATTACTTGCTCTTGGTGACACCAAGTCTATTTTGAAGGTATTGTCTCCTGATGGTAAAGGTGGTCACTAGTTGAGTGCTTAGGAGAAGTAAAATCAAGTTGAAAGGTGTCCCCACCCTGGCAAAAGTCAAAAATAGATTCAGAAAATTAGTCCAGTGCGTGTTATGTTCTGCAGGGGTGGAGAAGTGTGTGTGTGAGGTGGGGTTTTTTACATTGGAGTGACTCGCTGAAGCTCCATCCTCTTTGCAGCATAGAATCGTAGAATCATAGCCTGGTTTGGATTGGAAGGGACCTTAAAGCTCATCCAGTTCCAACCCCCCTGCCAGCAGCAGGGACACCTTCCACTAGACCACGTTGCTCAAAGCCTCATCCAACCTGGCCACAAACACTTCCAGGAAGGAGCAGCCACAACTTCCTTGGGCATCTGTGTAAAATGTCCATCAGCTCACGTCTGACTTCCCGTGGCTGTGGGGACATTGAGTGTGGGGTTTTTCTGCATTATTCTGATTTTTTTTCTCCCTTTCAGGTTGTCTAACTCTCTTCATGGCAGTGTTTGAACCATGAAGTGTGATAATACAGTGTGTGTTTGTGCTTTCTTGTTGTAATTGGCTTTTCTTTCCCTTCTTCCACATGCTACCAAGCTGTTCTCAGATGAGTCTTGGGAGAAGATAAAATATTTGTCCATCTTCCTTAAGCATTCAGGCCTCTTCCAGTTGATAGTTCCAACAGGATGGAAGTTAAATGTCATAACTTTGTACTATGCACATCGAAACAACCAGATATATAAATTCCTAAAAAACTTTTAACCCTCTGATGTGGTTTTGTTTCAGGCACAGCTGCGAGCTTTCATCCCAGAGATGCTGAAATATTCCACAGGTCGCGGGAAACCAGGTTGGGGCAAGGAAAGCTGCAAGCCCATCTGGTGGCCTGAGGACATTCCATGGGCCAACGTTCGCAGCGATGTCCGCACAGAGGAACAGAAGCAGCGGGTGTGTATCTCATGTCTGTCTTCACATTGAATACAGTTTTTGTGGAAATAGTTTTCCCCTCAAGAAGAAACTTTTGTTGGCCCATCCTTGACTCCCTGTCAGATGTTCAGCCTGGGAGAGCAATGAGATGAGGGAGGTGTAACCTTCAGTCTGCTCTGTCCCTGCTGGGGTTGTGTGATGAGCAATTGTTTGAACCACATCTCTTTCTGCAGCGGGTGGCCTTTTCAGCTGCAGAACCTGCTCATCTCTTTGGATTTATGAAGCAACCTACCCAGCCTAAGACAAGTCCACTCTCCAAGTAAATTAGAGAGCTGAGCAATCACCAACTGTATGAATTTTAACAAGTGCAAGTGCCAGATTTGGCACATGGGACATGGAAACCCTGGGGACACATCCAGACTGGGGAAGGAGAGGCTGGAG